GGTATTTTCAGCATCATTACTCCAGTCTTCAGTCTCACATAATCTTCAGAAATCATTCTAATATGCTGATTTGCTGCTCAAGAAACATTTCTGATTATTATCAATGTTGAAAACAGTTGAGCGGCTTCATATTTTTGTTTAAACCGTGATACATTTTATTTTTCAGGATTCTTTGAAGAATAGAGTTCAAAAGAACAGCATTTGTTTGAAATAGAAATCGTTTGTAACATCATAAATGACTTTACTGTCACTTTTGATCAATTTAATGCATCCTTGATGTATAGAAGTATTAATTTCTTTAAAAAAAAATAATCTTACTGACCCCAAATTTTGAATATATCATGAATGCATGTATATGCAAACACTCACCTCCTGTGGGTGCTGATCACAGAAGGTGGTAAAGGGGATATTTTCACACAAACACACTCCAGTCGTCTGCCCACGAGCCCCCAAGTCCTACAGAAAGAGAAGTTGAACATGTGCAGGTCCAATAGTGACACTCATACCTTTCCAATGATGAGGTTCATACCTCACAGCCATTCTCCGAGTTGTCTGAGAGCAGGCCGTTTGAGTCGGAGTCTTTTCTTCTAATCACCTCCATCTCTCCCTGACTCACTCACACTTCCACCTACACGAGGTGAGGGATAAATAAAGAAACGCTGCACCAACAGAACCGCTTCCACTCGAATTTACAGCACACGCAGAGCGCCAGTGTGCTCTCCAGCAGAGGGACATCATGCTGAACGCAAATAACAAGAATGCATCTAAACGCATTATAATGGATTTATAAACTTTTGGATTTTTATGTCCAATGCATATATTGGTTCTAATGCAAATCCAACTGTGAAGCACTGCGCTGGCAGTGAAGAGCGTGACAAGTGTTTTGAAGTGGTTGCACCATCACTTTGGAGAATTGTGCAGCTGTCTGAAACCGAAACCCTGGTTTAGAAATGCGCGTTTGTACTCGGCGCAATCTACAGTTATATTTCTATTCTAAGCATCTTTTACAAGGAAAAGCAAGCGTTGATGATTTCAGCTCAATCCCACGCGCATCTGGCCCCGCGCGCTCATTGCGTAATAAAGGCGCACGTACTGTATTCCTTCGAAGCGCGCAGATATTTCGCACGTATTTTTTTCGTCTTTCGCGAACACTTTGTTTCAATTTCGCAACACGTCCGATTCGCTGAAACATAAGGGTGCTGTCAGTCATTTAAAGTCATTGTAAACACGCGAAACAAACAGCAAAACTAAGAGTTGCGTGTGGAATAAGCACGCGCAAATGGCACAGATCGTTCGTTATCGGCGCAACAAAACCGCGGTGTGCGAACTTCTTAAAGCGGACACTCCTGGCTTACCTTGTCTGAAAGATGATACATCATCTCAATCTTCAGCTTCCAGAAATATCATCTGATTGTCCGTAGGTTTTGCGCGTATGCTAAGAAATCAGGACGGGTCCTTCCCGAACGCGGAAGCGCTCGGTGTCCCGAAAATGTTTGACATTGTAGTTTCGGCGTCAGTCGCTCGTGGAATAATAAGCCCCCGTGGTGAGGGGTGGCGCAGATGACGTACGGGTTCCGAGGGACCAATCGAATGTTTGTGAAGATGACAAACATATTTCATACATTCTATCCTGTTAAACATGTTCTCAGTAAGTTTAAGAAGGACATTGATGTTAATTGCTCTTTGCACTTGTAAACTGTACCCCACATCTTCTGGCACTGTAGTTATGTTAAACAGTTATGGTAGGATGTCTCTATGTTTATCAAAGAAAAGGTACTCTTTCATTTTAATTTGCATTTCGAAAATGCCGTTTTTGGATATTTTAATTATGATAATGTAAATAAGGAAGATTTTGTTATTAGTCTATTTATTTCGTTGGTTAAGTTTCACATTCATAAGTGTAAATGTTCTAACAAAAAGCCCTGTTTTACAGTGTCTTTTAAAGAGTTGGAGAAGTACTTGTGTACTATTCAACATACTAATAGAAAGGCCATTAAAACGGTCAGTTTGTGTTCTATCTTCAAAATATTTGTGTAATGTAAAGGTCATGCATGTCTCTGATTGTGTGTGTGTGTGTATATACTGTATATATATTTATTTATTTGTTATCCTTTGTTACCCTGGCTTTGCATTGTTTTGTATATGTCGTTTAAAGCATAATAATAATAATTTTAAAAAAAGCTCATGAAGTGACTCTCAGAGCAAAAAAAAATATTTAAATAAATAAATAAAATACCCTTGAATTATAAGCAGTGTTGGGGAGTAACTTTTCATGCAACGGAATTGCGTAATTTAATTACAAAATAAATGTAACTGTAATCTGTTACAGTTACTGAGAAAAGAAAATTGTAATTAAATTAAATTACCAAAATGTTAATGATTACAAAGGGTGTTACATCTGAATATTTTCACACATTTACAGATTTGATGGATTTCTTTCCCAAATTGCATTGACTACTCTACAATGTGAGACACAGATGTTTCAGGAGACAGATAGGACATGTGCTTATTCCATAACTGTTTTATTTCCTTTTTGGTTCATGTATAGGTTTTTTTATATACTGTATATATATTTATTTATTTTTTATCCTTTGTTACCCTGGCTTTGCATTGTTTTGTATATGTCGTTTAAAGCATAATAATAATAATTTAAAAAAAAGCTCATGAAGTGACTCTCAGAGCAAAAAAAAATATTTAAATAAATAAATAAAATACCCTTGAATTATAAGCAGTGTTGGGGAGTAACTTTTCATGCAACGGAATTGCGTAATTTAATTACAAAATAAATGTAACTGTAATCTGTTACAGTTACTGAGAAAAGAAAATTGTAATTAAATTAAATTACCAAAATGTTAATGATTACAAAGGGTGTTACATCTGAATATTTTCACACATTTACAGATTTGATGGATTTCTTTCCCAAATTGCATTGACTACTCTACAATGTGAGACACAGATGTTTCAGGAGACAGATAGGACATGTGCTTATTCCATAACTGTTTTATTTCCTTTTTGGTTCATGTATAGGTTTTTTTTTTTTTAAAGATTAATTGTTTGTTTGTTTTTTCTCCCAAAGCCCTGTTAGATGTTTCCTGTCGCTATACAAAGATTTGATTTCCTAAACAGTATCATAGCTATTAAACCAGGGGTGTCCAAACTCGGTCCTGGAGGGCCGGTGTCCTGAAGAATTTAGCTCCAACACCTGAACCAGCTAATCAAACTCTAGGCATACTAGAAACTTAAAGACAGGTGTGTTGAGGCAAGTTGGAGCTAAACTCTGCAGGACACCGGCTCTCCAGGACCGAGTTTGGACAGCCCTGCTATAGGAGGAGGTTTTCTGAAAGTGGGCGGGGAATGGGTTGATTTGGGAGGAGTTAAAGGGACGATTGACTTTTTTTAGTTTGGGCAACCCTGTATTAAACTATATCTTGTTATGATTTTAAATCTGTATTTAACCGCAGAACGATCTCAAAGTAAAAGGAGATGCTAAAGTTTGATTCTGTGGTGGCTGTGCTTTAAAATGAAATAATTATAATCTTAATTCAAGTGATGAAGGATTCTGAAAGTCTGACAGTAATCAGTGTTGAGCGCTTCTGTAAGGTTAACCCGGCCTGCTTTAAATGTGTGAAAATGATTATCAGTTGAAAACATCTGTTAGAAATTTAGAAAAGTAATCAAATGTAATCATAATTTAATAAAGTAATTGAAATAATTACACTACTTATTACATTTGAAATAGGGTAACTTGTAATCTGTAACCTAATACATTTCCAAAGTAACCTTCCCAATTACAAGTAAGCTTAAATTAGATGCAAAAGATCATAAAATAAACCTAAATTATTTACACTTGAAATTTTATATATATATATAGCCTATGTATGTAGTAAATAGAAATGTAAAAAATATATATTATAAAACATAAACATTTGAAAACATTAAACACATAAATATAGATCCTAAATGTATACTAATGCAATTTGTATCATACTTTGGAACTTATCCTACTGGGCAGAATAATCTGAGAATCAGTAGGACTCTAATAAATAGAAAAAAGAGAGAGAAAAATGAAAGACATATTTAAGTCTAGCAGCTGAAGGACACACGTAGCTCTGCTGGAGTTCTGACTCATATCTCCTTCACATCATAATGAATAACGTCTCACTGATTCTAATCAGCGGTCAGTCCCATCTGACTGAAGTCTGGGATTGCCCTCTCGAGCTAATTAAACATCATTAAACACTATTATGGACAACATCCAGCCCTGTGATACCAATCACTTCCCCCAGCTCTACAAACAAACATAAGCAGCTTTTGGAGACAGAGCCACATGAGACGTAATTTGTTTAACATCCCACTGATTGTAAAATAACAGAGAATCCCCAGAAAGGCTCCATTGTGCCATTCAGTGACATTTTCGTATTATTTATAAACTGTTATAGTAATTATTAATATTTATGTGTTCAGTATTCATGTCATTTTTTAAATATTTAAATATTTAATTTTAGTACTTCTAATTTTAATGACATTCTTTAAGTATAAGTTTTTCATCTAATATTGATGTTTTATTTTGTTTTGTTTTGTTTAAGATTTATTTTAATGAACTAAAATTATTGATTAATAGTTTTAACAATAAAAACACTGATGTTAAAAAATATATATGTTTTGCTTTAGAAAAAAAAAAAATTCAGCAAACATTCTCTAATATATGTCTATATCTGTATCTGTGCTTTACTGCAGTAAAGTAAAGAAATGGTTGTAGATAAAAACTCTGCATTTTCTCTATAAACATCAATCCAAATGGTTGCTAAGTGCTGGCAAGTCCTTGCATCTACTTCACCAACAGCCGTATAAAAGAGAGTTTGTCTCAAAAAGCCATGCAATCAAACTGCAAAGACTTATGGATGTGTTCACAGGAGCTGAACTGGAAAATTGCTCTGCATTAGTTTCACACAACCAGGCAGTTCAGTTCTAAAAGCAACTTGAATTGAGCTCTTCAGTGCTTTTAGTTTATTTAGCTGACTTTAAGATAGCAAGCAACCTTCAGTGTGCATCTGTGGGATTGTTTCACCTGTTTTATTGTCCAGGAGATGAAAATGGCGCATGCATCTGATCACTTGGTGAAGTACCAGCACAAGACACATGAGTTGAAGAATCATTCAAACTAATAATGCTGAGGGTTGTTTAGATCCCTAACAATCATGCATGAGCGGCAGTAATAGTGATGATTGACGATTTTATGATCAAAATGCAATCCCAGTCCCAGAATGGACCGACTCTCAAAGGAATAAAGAGGCACGTCATTAGGGAAAACTGAGAGCACGGGAGAGACTGAAAGAGAGCGAAAGGGTGGAGACAGAGAGATCATGAAGCTGTGTGTACAGAAGCAGCGATATAAACAGGAGATGCTGGAGAGATAAGGAAATTAAGGGAAAGGGCGCAACTCAAATAAACACTCAAACAAACGCACTCTTTTCTGTCTATACGACCCCTCACAAAGTCTGGGACGCAGACGGAGTGTCTCTCTCACAAATACTGGTCACTGAAAGCATTCAATAGCATTTGACCTCTTGTAGAATCCCAAAACGCAACAACTTCACCGGAGAGCTTCTGAAATCCTGCAGCATCAAACCTGAAGAATGCAAACCTCAACCGAGCGTGAGAAACCGTCTGACATGCATTGGTGCTCTTTAATGTGAGCCGTCAGACAGATGTTGATGCAAGCGCAAAGTCGACTGAATTTGACACCTAAAGCTACAGTGGAGATTCTCAGAGGAGCTGCATCGTCTGAAACACCGCTGCATGTCCTCCTGCACGTTCTTGATGGATCATCTTTAGCCGATTTTCTCGAATTCATGGAGACATATGGTTCTTCATGTTTAGTCATTTCTTGAAATCTTCCAACAGCAAGAGGGGTTGCATGTTCATGATGCAACTATGAATGGACACTGATCGTTTTTATTGAACGATCTGAGACTGGATATTTGGTCATTGTGTTTTTTTGGAGAAGAACCACGTAGGCGTCATTCTGCACAACACTTTGATCAAGTGCTTCGAAAGTAAATCACCAAGAATATCCAATGAAACAAGCCAAATCTTCTGTTCTAGACACCTCCTGGACTTCCCACGTAAGACACGCCCCTCTGCTCCGCCTCAACGCTCTTGACTTCTCCGACTTATGGGATGATGAGGATCTTGAGTTGGACAGCGCTGAAGAAGTCTCCTCCCATACTTCGGCCAATCAGATTCCAACCTCACCCGTCCCTCCACCCCCTCCCCCTTCGGCTCCGCCCCCACCTGTAGCCAGCGAGTCGCCGCGGCTGTCAGGCTGTCGTACTCTGAGGCTCCACTGGAGCGCGCTGTTGAGTCTTCAGCCTTTGCCGAGAGTGGGCCGCTTCGGGCTTCAGTCGATCTGGGCCGGTCTGGAGCCAGTTCAACTGGATACCAATAGACTGGAATACCTGTTTGAGAGCAAAAGCAGCAACAACAGCGCCCTCTGCAGTCTGACAGGGGGACGACAGGTAAGCCTTCAATGTTTAATGTGCATAGGCAACCATAATTACTGACAAATATTTATGTGTCAGTGAAGATTACCATATATTGGCCTGAGAATAATTTTCACTGATACTATTTCAGCAATTAAGTATGTGTGTTTTTATCAGTTGTTCAGAATCAGAAAAAAAAATACTGCTAAAACCTGAGCTGGTTGGCTGGTCTTAGCTGGTTTAAGCTGGAAGTAGCTGGTTTTAGCTGGTCTCCCAGCCTGACCAACTAAAAAAGTGGCCGAACCCCTCTAAAATCAGTCTGCTGACCAGCTATGACCAAGCTGGAAGACCAGCTAAAACCAGCCCACCAGTTTTGTTTTTTTGATTCGCTAATGAATCACTCATTTGATCTAAACAGTCTAACGGGTTTGCACAACGGTAATATGAGATAAAAGTCTAAATTAAAAGTTGACATTATGACACTAGTCATGATTATGATATAAAAAGTTGAAATTATGACTTCAAATAATTATGACACTAGTTTGTCATAATTTTGACTTTTCATGTAATAATTTTGACTTTTAAAGTCATAATTATAGTATAACTTACCAAAGCATGATTTTATTTTTTCTTATGTGGTGGACATGGGCTTCCACAATATAGTATACCTTATAAAACACTAAACAAAAGAATGCTGGATGAGGTGGATATTTACCTCTAACAAGTATTAAAGTTTTCAGCATTTGTGCTCCACATCTCTTTCTCTGTTCTTCTGTGCCGCAGAAGCAGCCGTGCGTGTCTGTTTTGTGTGTGAAGCGCAGTAACATCATTACTATAGCTCTGAGCAGTCTGCCACTGGTTCACCTGCTTCCTCCTGCAATATACAGCATGGACTACACTGTACTAGACAGAGAAGACATCCAGGTGTGTTCCCTACAGCGCTGTTCACTTTAAAGTCAACATGAGTTTAAGATCTACACGCATGACTAAAACTCTTCACTAATGCACATGACAGATTACAGCAACAGTGACATGAGGCAGTCTGCTATGAAAGCATGAGAGTTCATTGACATGTTCCTCTTTCCTGTGGTTCAGAGGTTGCAGATGTTGGTTCCCACTGAAGACGAGCTGAATCTGATAAAGGAGGCAAAAGCTCAGGCCCCGCGGTCCCCTCTGGGCCCCGCAGAGCAATGTCTCCTGACCCTGGGGAACGTTCCTCATCTGAGCACCAGACTGCAGCTCTGGGCCTTCACTCTGGACCATGACACACTGGAGAGAGTGAGAGAGAGGACTTACATTTCTTACAGTTAGAGTGTTTGTCAGTGCAAACTCACGGCAGTGCTGAAACTGACCTGAAACTTTTACAGCAATTTGTATAACCGTATAGTAACAAACGGAAATGCAAACTTGGTGGCATCAAATCATTCAAATAAAGAACTATTCCAAGACCAGAGTGCAATTATTGGATAGCATTTTACAGATTGTAGATTAATCCTAATAAACATGCTGCTACAACAAAAACAATAACATTAAAATACATTTAAAACAGTGTATTTCTATTATCCACTTCAGCAGCGTGCAGATCCTCGTTTATCGCCGGACTTTGGCGACAGCAGCGCGGGCAATCGCTTAGCCCGCTCACATAATGTAACCATATCTTCTATAACAGGAAACAACATATCATTTTTATGACATGTCGTTATTACGAGAAAAAAATCTGTAACTTTAGCGAGAAAAATATGTAATTTTAACGAGAAAACATTTCGTTATTACGAGAAAAGATGTTGTTTTAACGAGAAAAATATTACGTTTTTTTTACAAGATAATTATGTTGTTTTAACGAGAAAAAATGTAGTTTTAACGAGAAAAATATGTCTGTCGTTTTAACGAGATAATTATGTAGTTTTAATGACATAACATCTCGCTATTACGAGAAAAGATGTCGTTTTAACAAGAAAAATATGTCTGTCATTTTAACAAGAAAATTACGTTTTAACAAGATAATTATGTAGTTTTAATGACATAACATCTCGCTATTATGAGAAAAGATGTCGTAAAAACGACATAAGCTCTCGATATTACGACATAATTGAGTGGAAACAATAATATGTGTGTGGCAGCAATGCGTCACCGTACTGGCATGCATAATACAGCATTTTTAGTCGTTTTCGCAGATCTGTGTGAATGGGGATTGTTTTGACAACACTGTTGTCTGTACGCGAAACCTTTCAAAAACGCAAAATAAAACTTTTCCGTTTTTTTGTACATTGTTGTCAAGTAAACGTACCCCTAGTCTCGAAAATCATGGTTTGTTTTCAGGTGGAAAAAAAAATATTCTCAACTTCAAAATTATTTACTATTAACTATCCAACACACTTGTAACTATTTCATGTTTTGGCGATTTTTAAGTTTTTCAGAGTACATTTTACAAGAAAATACTACACCAGTCTTTCTGCTTAAAAATGTTACAATGAATTCAATGTTACTTAACGTTTCTTGAAATTGACTAGCAATTTCTGAAAGATAATTGTTTTAAAGTAAATCCAGCACAAATTTTTACTGTGGCTAATTGGTATGAATTCATATCATCTCATTCATGTTTCCGTTAGGTTTATCGCAGGACTTTATGCTCATGTTTTCTGTCATGTCTGGTTATTTGCAGTGTTGGGGGTAACGTGAGTTACGTAATCTGATTACTTTTTTCAAGTAACTAGTAAAGTAACGCATTACTTTTTAATTTACAAGAGAATATCTGAGTTACTTTTTCAAATAATCCAATTTATTGATTGACAGCTCTCCTGTCCACATGTCGAGAGAAATCAGAAGATATTACTGTAGTTCTAAAATAAATATGAATATGCATCAATTCATCTCACTCACACACAAAAAAAACACAGATTCAGTATTCCTCAAAATGAATAGAAATAATGCAACTCAGAATATGACGCAAACCTGCAATAATTAAATGTTAAACAACACAAATATCCTTTATGTATTTAATCCCATTCTATTAACCAATGTCTTTGATGATCCCGTTCAACCATAAGCCAAAATTACTCTAGACAAACATTTGTGTGTCTTTTATTATTGCTGAAGTGTGTTGAAATCTTCTTCTGCATTTTACTGTACGGACATACATTTACTTTCCCTTCAGCCTGAGGCTTATTCATTTCACTTTTGGTGTGAAAAGGCTTTTATATATTTGCCAAAAATATTTTTATTTTATTTTAAAAACAAACAAGCAAGCCCTGTCCAGATTTAAAAAGTAATGCAAAAGTAACGAAACGTATTACTTTCCATAAAAAGTAACTAAGTAGCGTAATTAGATTACTTTTTTATGGAGTAATGCAACATTGTAATGCATTACTTTTAAAAGTAACTTTCCCCAACACTGGTTATTTGTAGTGTTTGTTTTTGTGCATCTTTGTTCCGTGTGTGTGTGTGTGTGTGTGTGTGTGTAAACAGGAAATCGCAGAGCCACTCTACCATCTGAAGCTTGCCATGGAGCAGCTAGATACATTTACTTTCCCTTCAGCCTGAGGCTTATTCATTTCACTTTTGGTGTGAAAAGGCTTTTATATATTTGCCAAAAATATTTTTATTTTATTTTAAAAACAAACAAGCAAGCCCTGTCCAGATTTAAAAAGTAATGCAAAAGTAACGAAACGTATTACTTTCCATAAAAAGTAACTAAGTAGCGTAATTAGATTACTTTTTTATGGAGTAACGCAACATTGTAATGCATTACTTTTAAAAGTAACTTTCCCCAACACTGGTTATTTGTAGTGTTTGTTTTTGTGCATCTTTGTTCCGTGTGTGTGTGTGTGTGTGTGTGTGTGTAAACAGGAAATCGCAGAGCCACTCTACCATCTGAAGCTTGCCATGGAGCAGCTAGCGGCCAATCAGACATTCCGCTGCATACTTGCGACTGTGCTGGCCGTCGGCAACTTTCTGAACGGCTGTATGGTGAGAATGACTGTATAAAAATGTGTTCACAATCATAACTGTCCCGCCCATTGCATGATGATGTGTGTTTTGCACAGGCGAGGGGGTTTGAGTTGAGTTACCTGGGCACACTCTCTCAGGTGAGAGACACACAAGGCCGGCAGCCTCTTCTTCATCACGTTTGTGTGCTATTGCTCCAGCTTTACCCACAATCCTCCGATCTGTATTCCGACATCACTGCTGTCACAAAAGCCAGCAAGGTATGTTGCTATGTTTTGTAGCTCCCGCCCATTGCATGATGATGTGTGTTTTGCACAGGCGAGGGGGTTTGAGTTGAGTTACCTGGGCACACTCTCTCAGGTGAGAGACACACAAGGCCGGCAGCCTCTTCTTCATCACGTTTGTATGCTATTGCTCCAGCTTTACCCACAATCCTCTGATCTGTACTCCGACATCACTGCTGTCACAAAAGCCAGCAAGGTATGTTGCTATGTTTTGTAGCATATTGTGCACGATGCACTGAATATGGCCTCAACAGCGAGTCATTTTCCAGCTATGTCCAATACTAAATAAACTAGAAGTCTTTACGAGGTATTTAACTCATGAAGTTTGTTGAGAGAGCGTTCAGAGTGAATAGAGCTAAATCCATAGCTATCTAGACAAAACAGAAGCTCAAATTTGATTACTTTATTATTTTCTGTTTATATTTGATTGTTTTTTTATAATTCTAAATAATGGAAAATAGTCAAATATTAAATGAGGACAAGAGCTTTGACTGGTAAAACTGCATAGACGTTTTGTAAGTTAATCCAGATGTTTGGCTGATATCCAGTTAATTTATATTTGTTTTGAATATGTTTCTCAGTGACTGTCTTTATCCCACTTTTCCTGTCTCTGATAAACAATCACACGCTGGTGGCTAGTGCGACTACACACAAGTGCAGCTGAATCTCTCGCAGCTTCAATCGCTTTGCAAAGCATCCTGGGATCAACTCCGACTACTTGAGAAAGATGGAAAGAAAGGTGGAGGAAGAAAAGAGGAAGGCGGAGAAGAGGCAGCGCTCCATCAGCGGCTCACGCAGTTTCTGAAAGACTGTGAGGAGAGGTTGAAGGTGCTACGAGCCGTTCACCGCAGGGTCATCAACAGGTAAAACCAGTTAGTTACCACAACTAAACGCCAACACACATTTGCACTGAAGCACATGCTGAGATTCAGATGCAAAATATCTATTGGTCTTTTTCAATTTAAACTAAAATCTTATTTAAAATCAACTCAACTCTGTAAACATGGCTGTGGTTTAACTGGACGTTATATTTATTGTATATTATGTGTATGTATGTATATGTATGTTTTACTGCATGCGTTTGTTGTTTTTATGTTTTATGTTAGTCATTACCTGCCAAGGGACTGCGGATGAAAATTAGCCATTGGCTAAATTCGGTACAATGCATGAAATGGAAATATTTGTTAAAATTGTGCATTGTCCCTTTTCAAAAAAATAAAAAAACATTTGATCTGTTTGTAAAAACCATTTGACACACACACACAAAAAAAAAATATATATATATATATATCTCAAACATAAATTCATGAGATTCATCCTGGGATGCATTTTAAGTGTTATATTGTCTACAAAACCAATTTCAAGCATTTAGGTACATTTTATATCAAACTATTTTTTAAGGTCATAAAACATAAATTCAATCAAGCTTGTCAAAACTCTTGATTGGTATAGTTAATTAATTGTTTTAATATGATTTCATCTGATCATGCTTGCAGTAACCAATAAGTGTAAAGCTTAGTGTTCAAATCCATTCCTCATCATTTTTCTGACAATGCAGGTCCATCTGGGCCTCTGAAGGTCACTGAAAAGCAACTGTAAATGTCAAAGACACTGCTGAGCGAGCTGGTACGGACTGTATCCACTAAACAGTACAGCACCGAGTTTTAATCATTTTTAGTCTTAAACTCCCGGTGAGTATTTTGATTCGAGAGATTTTTGTCTCGCTTTTTTTTTTTTTACTGATCTTTGGAGAATTTTTTTGTTTTTGGTGTTTTTTATTTTTAATGCATTTTTCTGGTCATTTTCTGCTTGGCTTTGGTGGCGTACATTTTGTGGTGGTAGAGCAGTGACAAAAAAAGAAAGAAAAAAAAAAAAAACATGCTTTGAGAGGACCGCACAATTTTTATTTTAACTTTTCAAAGTAGGAGTTATTTTTCACCCCATTTTTGCAGGACTGCTGCTAGAGCAGCTGGTTTGTTTGATTTTTGAAGGTAATGTGGAGGAGATGGCTCATATGGACCGGTGGTTGTGTTTTCAAGATGGGGTCGTTTTTCCCTCCATGTCCAGGATTCAGAATAAAAACGCGTTTTAAGTCCATTTTTAACATGACACTGATTTTCTCAACATGAGTAGACTATTTTTATTAGTCTGTATACATTTGGAGTGAGCTTGTCCTTTTTTAGTACGATTATTTGCACATTATTTTTGCTCTTATTTTTAAGGGTCGTTGGGTTCCAGTCGTTTTTTTTTTCTTCAGGGGACGTTTTTGCAGGTTTTGCATTGTTTTCTGCACTTTTAATGGACTGAGAAAACACGTTTTCCGTCTCATGCTGTAATCTATATCAATGCATGGACTACTTAACACTTTTTACATTTGCACCCCGGGTCTGTGCAAAATCATGTAAACGGTCAATCTTTCCATTAAAAGTACATCAAGGATGTTGAATTGAGCTGGTTGCATTAATATTAAATAAATGTTTGAAGAAGGCCCAGTGGGCCAAAGAAAGTATTACTGCCTTCGCTCCAGTGCTCCACTGCCTCATGCTGTATGTGTTCAAAATTGCATCATATTTGTGTGTATTCCCCCCCCTCCTCACCCTCCTCACCCACACGGACTAATTCATTTAAGACTTGAACAATATGTGCAATGCAACTTTACATTAGAAAGTGGTTTAATTTTGCTCTGTCTTCTTTCTATGCTTGATGTAGAATGTACAAGTATTTCTTATCTTGTCTTCAGTAAATGTGTATATTGTATGACTATGTGAAATGCACCAAATCATGTCCCCCTCACAGTTCCCCACTAGGCACACATCAATATCATATTCCAAGTCTGGTTTGTTTTTAGCTGTAATATGTGTAGATCACGGGTTCCCAAACATTTGAATCATACACACGCCAATATATTGGGTATAACCAACCTATCCACCACTTTTAGTAATTCTAAGTTTTATGATTCATTTGACCATTTCTTTACCAAGCATTTGGTTGTAGAAGACAAGGTTGGAACATATATAAATAATTGTGTATATATTGTAATTGAGTCAGTTTCTCGGCTTTTTTACACCATAAGCAAGTGTTGAAATGTGACTGGATGATAATTCCCATTTTATGGTGTGAACAGTGAAGCGTAATGAAATGGGAGTGATCCAGTGCTGTTGCATTGCATTGCTCTGTTTTGTTGCAGAATATTCGACTCGCACTTTGGGAAACCCTGGTCTAGACTAAACACTGCATGCTAACGTTGATGCCTTTACAACATGCACATTTTGCTCTAAAATCATGGAGGTCACATTTCTATTCTTAAGTCCACATTTTGCACCAAATTTGTCAAACCAAATCTAAATTTTCCCAAAGATTACTAATATAATGTTGATCTCAGGTCTGTCGACCCTAAAGCATTTGGTTGTAAAAAAAAAAAAAACATTTTCCCTGCTTTAGAAAGCTAAAAATGTTCCTTTCTGATTTTATTCATTTTGCTTTTTTGTAGTTTTTGAGGCAGCTTTTTTTGAACCACGTCAATCCGTAAGTTGGTTTTTCTTTTATTCTCCACTTCCGCCAATCTTCCTGAAAAGTGTGTTATGCAGACTAGACTCCTGTTTGCGGTCTGTAGCCTTTACCTTCTTCCATTACCTTTAAAAATGCCCTAGAGTAAATACGTTCTAAATAGTCTGTAGACTTGTGGATTTTTTAAAGACATTTCATAGTTCAGCAAACAGGCCTAAACCAAATGCTAGAGTTTGCTAAACCACTCCTAGAGAGAATCCAAACCTTTGACAATGAGGTCTAGCCTAATTTTTGGATTAATGGTAGTGCACTATAGAGGACAATTCTAACTTTGTGTACTAGTGCTTTATTACTTCTAATTTAAACGTATTTCTGTTTTTCCCAGTGCAGTTGTGTTCTAGATGAGTGCAAGATGAGACAAGTCTTGCCATGATAGATTGTTGTTGATAATTTCAAGGACACACATCTAAATTTCACATTTACAACTCATTGATTTCCCATGAACTATCATTAAGATTCTCAATTATCAATGTTTACACTATTGAATCTTCAATTGGCAGGGGTGAGAACAAGGGTAAGTGTAACATAATTTGCTTTTGACTTTGTGTAATGCTGATAATGAAATAAAAAAAAAAAAAGTTAAAAGTCTTGACTAATCCTTAAATTGCCGAAGCAAAGGTAGCTGTTATTGTGCAACTTTGACCAATTATAGAAACGTACAGGGCCTAATTTACCTTTAATTTGTGTTTTTTGTCCTGCTATCTATCATAGTGCCTGAGGAGATTTGGATATTTTAATTTGCATTGACCTCTGACTCGCTCTATAATTGGCCCGTCATGACGGCTTCACCTGCTTTCATCCATATAAAGCTGAAATTTCCTACAAACACACTGATATTCATCTTTTTGTTCAGATATAATACAGACTTAATGGTGTGTCTTAAGCTGTGCAGAGAGCTTCTTTAAATAGACCTTTTTAATCTCTCTTGACGGTGGTGTGAAAGGTCTTTTTTTCCATTAGCGTAGGATTTGATTGTCACATGACTGAAACGTGTCTCTATTTGATGCTGAAAATTTTCCCTTAAATTAAAGGGTTTTAGTTAGGGATTATGTGACATTGAGCATGTTTAAAACGTTATGGTGACATGGCTGTTCTGTTTCACTTGGGATATCTGTCTGGATTTAATTTTCTTTGCTTGTGTATATGAACCACTGGGTGGCAGCATCCAAACACTAGACTGCTTGTTTGACCTTGGGAAAGTGTTGAGATTGGTGGGAAAGTGCGGTGGGTTACAGCACCCACCCACACAGTATGACCTTCACCCACAATGCACTGCTGAGCAGCAGCTCAATGGTGTCCAATAACAACCCTCTTCTCTCCAACAGAATCAGGCAGGCAGACGACTCGACCTGAATTACAGACAGAATGGAGTGAGTTCTGACTATTCAACCCCCAACATCCCCTTTAGCACACTTAAATAACTCAATGTGCACGTTATGTGGGGGTCTTGTAGGCCGTGTGTCCCAAAAGCATCCAAAAATACCACCAAAACACTGCCCAGTCCAACTCAAACATACCAGTTTACCCCTCAAACACGTAGTAAGCACCGAAAGCGATCCACACACACAACCAGATCCATTTTCCTCAGTAAATTCACTGTTTAGTGCATTTCCCCCCATTTTACTCTGTCAAACCCATAAACGAAGCAAAGCAATATTATAATGCCTCTGTATTTAAGCTTGACTGCAGCAGGCAGTTAGTTTCACTTCCGCATTTTAGTTTGCATGTGTGAAATCTCAGCTGGCCATACATTACGACATTACCTGCCCAGCCCTGGTTCATACAGATATATACTTCATCCCCTGTGACACATTTGACCGACAAACTGCTTAAAACTACAACATAAACGCCAGTCTAGTTGATATGTGAATCTTCTGATTTTAATTGTATATCTATGCACATTATAGCACAGGGAAGCTTCATATATGACTGCTGTGGCTCTTATTTTAAATATACTAGGTGATATACCTTATGAAACTAATGTATACTTTATCTTGATGGTTACAAACTGTATATATCTTGAAATGTTTGTTCTTCCCCCAAATGTCTTGCACTGTGGTAATGTTCAAAAGAATAGACTAATGGAAAATATTTATGTATTGATATTCTTGTGGTTCTATTTTAAAGTGAGAAAGTCAACATGAAACCAAAATTGGCCTTATTTATTTTAAAGTAATAGATGTGTTGAATCACTTACAATAAGACCAGAAACATGTCATTATGAAAGTAAAATGTGTTGCGGATACTGTTTCATGTTGACTTCAGATTTCTAATCTAAAGAAGATGTCTACATTTTTTTTGTAATCCATTCTCACTAGCTATGTTTCCATCCACATATTTGTATGCAAATTTAGATATCACAAAAAAATTGCATGTGCATACAACCTTAAAATGCACAAAAAAAGAAAAGTTTTTAATCCAATTGGAAGACATACATGCAAACGCCTATAGAAACAAAAACTGATCACGTGATTGGATAACTGGACTAGCTAGCAGACCAATCGTGTTGCACATAATCTAAAATATTGTTTTAGTAATTCTGAAATGCCTGAGCCAAAGTCCGTAATCAAAATGATTTGGTTTGGTACATTTACCTCCCAGAACTGAAATGGTTGTGTTCCCAAACATCAAGCCAAGATTTCATGGCGGCGGTTGCTATTGCATTTCGTCTGTTGCATTTGCAGTAACTTCCATTTTTAGCACTGATAAGTTGTGCAGATTTCCCAGAAAGTGATGTTTTTGTTCTTTTGAACACATGGAATGGAAACGGTGCTTCAGTTTCAATTGGTTTGTGCAAAATTCCAATTTTTCACAAGTTAACTTCGCACTTTGGATGGAAGGGTAGCTATCGAGGCTAGTAATGTTGTTATAGACATGCTAATTTCTCATTTGTCCTTCCTGTCTCTGTCAATCTTCTGCACCCCCTTTATTCCTCTCTTTTTACCCAGTCATTCCCCCACAACCAGCAGCCTGATGGCCAGCAACGTCACCAACAAGACGGATCTGCGTTCGCTGAACTCCCGGGTCTTCATCGGGAACCTTAACACCATGCTGGTGACCAAGGCCGATGTGGAGGCCATCTTCAGTAAGTACGGGAAGATCGTGGGCTGCTCCGTGCACAAAGGCTTCGCGTTCGTCCAGTATGCCAACGAGAGGAACGCCAGAGCGGCAGTCGGGGGTGAAGATGGGAGGATGATCGTCGGACAGGTGCTCGGTAAGTAGAGTAACGTCGCACTGTGAAGATCTCTTTGATGCAGGTCATTGTAGATCTCAGGTTCATTTCTTACCTTTTGTTACCCGAGGACACTACAATCTTAAAGCCCTGGCTATGTTTTTGTAATATTTACCCAGATTTGGATAATGTAGAGGGGAAATGGGATCAAGAAATTTCCACATGATTTCTTTAATTTGACCAAATTCTGAACTCTAAGCAAATTGAAATTTTTGACGTTGTGTTGCTGTTTTGTGTCCTAATGTTGTAAATATGGCCATTCCAAAGTTATTTGAACGGATCTGTTTGCTCCAGTGTAATAGTTCAAATAAGAATTGTTTTATGTTTTAGATGTCTGTTAAATTTCTCCCTGCTTACGTATACAATCACCTTTTTTTGTGGTTACATTTTGCATTGATTTAGCAGATGCTTTTATCCAGAGTGACTTGTCTCGTGACCACTAGGCCACAATGTAAATTGTTTGTGTGTATGTGCAATCTTTCTGCATTTTTTAGATATTAATCTGGCTGGTGAGCCAAAACCTCATCGTTCAAAGATTATCAAACGCTCTGCGGGAGATATGTATAGGTTTGCGTTTTATATTTTTCATTCTATTGTTATTTATTTTTAGGGGTAAAAATACTTTTAAAATACTTCCACATGTTAATCATTGAATTGTTTTCTCCTCCAGCAGTTCTTCATTTGATCTGGACTATGACTTTCAGAGAGATTACTATGACAGGTGAGCTCTCCTTACAGATTCACTGATCAAACGCTTTGCAGAGAGCTTTTATTATTATTATTATTATTATTCATGAAAGGCTTTGAGTGTCTGTCTGAACTGGGATTGCATGATTCCAGGAAGGTGTGTGGTAATCTGAGCGTGTGTTTTCAGGATGTACTCGTACCCGTCGCGTGTACCCCCTCCTCCTCCTCCTCCTCTCTCGCGGGCGGTGATTCCCTCCAAACGGGCGCGAGTGAGCGTGAGCGCCGGCAGCAGCCGCAGGACCAAAACCAGCTTCTCCTCCAAGAGCAGCCAGCGCACGTCCCGCACCAGTGAGACACTTCTTTCCTGCTATATTCTCCATTTTATATATCCAATTTTTTTTTTCTTTTTTTTTAATTCTCATATAAATGTATTTTCTATGTTCATTACTTAAAATGTTTTTAGTATCTTAATATATATTATATATTATAATATATATATATATAGGCTCATCGGCCTGCATTTATTTGAACAAAAATACAGTAAAAGCGGTATTATTGTACAATATTATTACCATTTAAAATAGCTGTATTCTATGTGAATTAATTTTGAAATGTATTTTATTTAAAATAGAACAAAGTTCAAAAGAGCAGCATTTATTTGAAAAAGTAATGTTTTGTATCATTATAAATGTCTTTACTGTCTCTTTTAAACTAGTAAATGCATCCTTGTTGAATAAAAGTATTAATTTCTTTAAAAAAAAAAAATCTTACCCAAACTTTTTTTCAATACTGCAAATCAGCAGCATATTAGAATGATTTCTGAAGGATCATGTGACACTGAAGACTGAAGTAAGGATGCTGAAAATTCAGCTGCGGATCACAGGAATCAATTACAGTTTAATGTATATTCAGATAGAAAACAGTTATTTTACGTTCTAATAATGTTTCACAATATTACTGTTTTTAATGCATTTTTGATCAAATGAATGCAGCCTTGGTGAGCAAAAGAGACTTCATTCAGAGACATTACAAAATCTCACCAGCAAACTTTTAAAGAGTAGTGTACATTTGGATGACTCGAGATGTCTCAGATGTTTAGTAACCACCATTCATATCCCTGTGTGTGTTCAGTGAGAGCTGACGATCTGCAAACCATTAAGAAAGAACTGACTCAGATTAAACACAAAGTGGACTATCTGCTGGAGAGCCTGGAGCGCATGGAGAGAGACCACAGCAAGAAATCCGGTACAGGCCATAACACTACCGACCAAACGCAGCAACACTAGTCATTTCTGATCACTCTCCCCTCATGTTTCTGCACAGAGGCGAAGAGCTCTAAACCAGATGAAGCCTCACCGCAGCACTCCAGCGGGAAGAAAGAGCGCGAGAGCACGGAAATGAACGACTACGAGGACGAGGGAGACCTGCTGGAGGAAGAGGAGGTGAGTGAAGGAGGAACAACAGCGTCAGAAATCACGTAATCATTGACTCGCTCGTATTCACCCATCGCTTTGGGTTACAGCAAACTTTTAAAGAGTAGTGTACATTTGGATGACTCGAGATGTCTCAGATGTTTAGTAACCACCATTCATATCCCTGTGTGTTCAGTGAGAGCTGACGATCTGCAAACCATTAAGAAAGAACTGACTCAGATTAAACACAAAGTGGACTATCTGCTGGAGAGCCTGGAGCGCATGGAGAGAGACCGCAGCAAGAAATCCGGTACAGGCCATAACACTACCGACCAAACGCAGCAACACTAGTCATTTCTGATCACTCTCCCCTCATGTTTCTGCACAGAGGAGAAGAGCTCTAAACCAGATGAAGCCTCACCGCAGCACTCCAGCGGGAAGAAAGAGCGCGAGAGCACGGAAATGAACGACTACGAGGACGAGGACGAGGGAGACCTGCTGGAGGAAGAGGAGGTGAGTGAAGGAGGAACAACAGCATCAGAAATCACGTAATCATTGACTCGCTCGTATTCACCCATCGCTTGTCTGGTTTAACTTGAAGAAATTATGACAGAAATGTATAACTATTGCATAAAATATATAATTATCAAAGTAATAATATTATTTTAAGGATTATACAACAAATTTATTTTTCATGAATTTATAGAGTTCTGCATCGTCTTGCTTGATAATAAAAATGCGATGTTTTGTTGTAAATTAATTTAAAAAATAATGATCAAACGCTTTAAAGGTGGGGTATGTATTTATTCAAAAAAGCTTTAGAAAACTGAGTCGGGCCGAGTACCAAAACAAACTTGTAGCCAATCAGCAGTGAGGGGCGTGTCTACTCATGATGTGGAGGAGAGGGCGCTCGGTGCACAGGAGGATGGACATTAGCCGAGCCGAGCTGTCAAAATAGGGGCGAGACCCTTTTGGGGTAGGGGCGTGTTTGTTTTGGTGATTTGAAATATCAACATTGGCTACCAGAAATCACTTACCCCACCTTTAAGATTAATTAATTCATTTCATTAGACACTATTTATATGATAAATTTGTACTGAATCATAAAACAGAAACCTACAGAAGCCCATTTCCGTGACTGAATAAAACATTTAAAAAAAGTTATTGCGGCTTTTTATCTCACAATTCTGACTTTTTTCACAGAATTGAGAGATACAGTATAAACTCGCAATTGCGAGTTGTAAAGTCAGAATTGCGAGATATAAACTCGCAATTACCTTTTTTATTTTTTAATTCAGTGGCAGAAACAGGCTTCCATAGAAACCTGAGAAAATAAAATGGAGTAATTAAGGGGAAAATAAAATGGATTTCACAACAGGGCCCTAAATTAAAGGAGTTCAATTTGAACAAAGTTATGTTTACATTTATTCTCAAGGTCTTACAAACATGTGGAAAGTATTTCCTTCCCCATTAACAGTACAGGAATATCGTGATAAATATCGATATCATATGATATGGAAAAAATATTGTGATAATATTATTGGCCATGTCACCCGGCCCTATGTGTTCATGTAAACGTTCAGTTTCATTAGTTGTTTCGTCTGCTTGTTTTACTTTTTTTTTTTCTTCAAATTTCATCAAATGAGTTTCATGATCTGAGGCCATGGACAGAATAACATCTGATGGCAGGTCATTTAAGTGAATTTGCTTTTGCACAACCTTTGGTATACCTCTTATATTGCAGCGAAACTGAGCAACATGAAACAGACTAATATGAAATTAACTCAATTTAGTTAAATGGGGATTATTTCAAACCAGTGAAATGACTCTGTGCCGTTCTTCTGGCTCTTTGGAAGCTGAGAGCCGCAGGAACAATCAAACGAATTGAATTGGAGACACACATCTGCTCGATTTCAAACACAGCGAGTGAATGAGGTCCAATGAAATGAAGATGAAGAGAACACTTACTGCGTGACACATGCTACACATGGAAGAACGGCACGCCAGCCGGACACGAATATTCATTAATGAAGCATTCTCTCTCTGTGTGTGTGTGCGCTGCACATCTGACGCCTCACTGCTCACAATCATTCCAGTGCAGTGAATCCATCCATCCATCCATCCATCCATCCATCCAGTGTCTATCTATTGTCCGTTTATCTATCTATCATCTATCTGTCAACACACACAGCCGCACACTTCTCCAAACAGAAAGTTACAAGTCTGCAATCACACTAAATCTCGACTGTTTGCCGAAGCGCAGGTCTCACGGTTAAGCAAACACAAGTCCGTGCAAACACATACAGTTGTACATGCGTGATGTGGCATGCATTCGATGCAGAGGCGCTCCACGCTGACAGGCAAACAAGCATAATGGACTGAACAAACCAGAAACGCAACAACACACACAAACACCCAGGTGAAACACTGGTGCAGCATGGGAGATCCTTCAGGATGTTTGGGCCACAAGGTGATTTATGGGTTGGCTGCAGGGAATCTGGCTCATCTACTGTGTGTGTGTGTGTGTGTGTGTGAGTGTATGTGTTTCTTTGAGAAGGTCATGTGTGCAGTGCTGTTGCCAAGACAGTGTTTGTTCCTGACCGAGTGTGAGTTTTAGTGTGTGTTTAGTGCTGTTGGATAACATGATCTTTAGAAAGTGTGACGTTGCATTGTGTGTTTGCGTGTGACCCTCTGCAGGCTGCATTGTGCTGCTGTTGGTCTACGGGTGACTTGCTAGAATGTAGATGAGAGTGAACAAAGCAAGCCATGAGCGACGTGAGACGCTTTTTGAGAACAAGACAAAGAGAAAGCCTTACTAGGGCACTACGAAAACTGCTGACTAGCACACTAGTGTTGTCATGTCACACTATGAGACAGTGAGTGATTCTCCTCATGTCTGTCTATGTTGATTTTCACATTTAATCATTCATATATATATATTATTACTATTATTATTATTATTATTATTCATACTTTTTTTTAGGTTACGCCTCATAACGGCTCTTTTTCATTCGAAATAAATGTTTTAAATTTTTTTTATGTATCATTCATTTGTTGTAATATTATTGTAATTTTTAGGTTGCAGTTTAATTCTGTTAATTTAATTCAAATTTTAATTAAATGTTATTTTTAATTGTACTGAAATATTAGCTACTTTACATTATTGTTATTTTACTTTTCAATGGTACTAGTTTACTCCATTTGCATTTTCTGTTATTTTATTTTATTAGTTCATATTACTTATTTACTTTACTTGTTTACTCACATTAAATTAAATGTAGTAAATTTGATTGAATTTTGTATTGTTGTTTTATGTGTCAATATTACTGGTTTACTGTTGATATGTTTATTTTTTTTCAATTGATATATTATTTCATTTGTTCAAAATAATGGTTTACTGTCTCATTTATTTGTTAATATTATTGAGTTAGTGGGACTCCGGTTACTCACAGAGACTCAGATGTGAGCTGTGTTTCATCTGAAGGGTTTAAATGTGTGGGGAAGTCGTGGTTAGAGAGCCGGACTCGTAACCCAAAGGTTGTGGGTTCGAGTACCAATGACCGAGGTGCCCTTGAGCAAGGCTCCGAACCCCCAACTGCTCCCCGGGCGCCGCAGCATAAATGACTGCCCACTGCTCCGGGTGTGTGTTCACAGTGTGTGTGTGCACTTAGGATGGGATAAATGCACTAATTCCAAGTATGGGTCACCTCTCAGCCTCTGAGATTACTGGGGTCTTTTCATCATGATAAACATTAAACTTTAGAAATGATATGTTTATGTATTATCTATAATAATAATAATATACATATAAAATTCCAACAATGCAATATTAAGGCTGCAAATTATATTACATTGTTTTCTTTCATCACAATATCACCACTGGAAAAAAAAAATATATATATAATAATAATCATCATCACCAATGTATAGGCTTTTCCTGTGTCCACAATTTTATTTTGGATCTTGCTCCCTTTAACAAACAAAAGTCAGTTCCTGTATGACATCATCCTGCAGGAAGTGACATCACTTTGGCGGGAAACCAACAGCACAAACAATGGATGTGATGAATGATGTTCAATTGTTGATCTGAAACCATCCTGAGTGATCACATCACACAAATACCAGTTTGATAACATCAGTATTTCACAAGATGATTAAAAAAAATACCCGAGGTGACATCCTTGTGTAAATAATCAAGCTATAGTTTACAGTGCCCTGACTAGAGTATTATTTATAGAAGTGCATCTTTAAACTATAACACAATCACATTTTACAAGTTATGAAGCTGAAAACATGCAGCAGTGACTCACCTCATGTTGAAAATACAGATGGCATTTTGCATATTTCATTCAAAAATCTCTTTTCCCAATCGGAAAAATTCATGGAAATGGAAGGCATTGTGGGATGCAGTTGCGTGCAATTTTGTTCTGTTGTGGATATCGCAAATGATCACATATAGTACTTAATCTGGTTAATCTGTGATATTAAAAACTGCGATTCCCTGCATAATCCACATACTGCTGCTATCAGTCTCGGCCTTCTCTCTGCAGCAGTAATAGCTGTTTATTAAATAGCCCTTTTGTGATTTCTCAGTGATTTTCTGTGCTGCTGATGCTGATCATAGAGTGTTTTCTCTGCTGATCTGGATGCAGTCGTGTGTGTGTGTGTGTGTGTGTGTGTGTGAGAGAGAGCGTCTGCAGCATCACTGTTTCACACTCTCGACCTGATCTGAAGAGATTTTCAAAATCTCAAGCAATTAGAGACGGGCTGCGATGAGTTTGAAGATGTCTGTGCTTTTTCAGGCTTAATGAGCAAACGCTGCTGAGTAAATGTGTGTGTGTGAGACTGATGTCACACTAATGTAGGTCAGACACTAGTGTGATGACTTCACCGCCTGCGAAATCACCCACAGCCAATCAGACGAGAGAAACGAACAGGAAAACAGACTTCCTTTCCAGAGCTCTGCAGCTTTTCACGCACACACACACTCACACACGCTCGCACGCACTATGGAAATGGAAGGCATTGTGGGTTGCAGTTGCGTGCAATTTTGTTCTGTTGTGGATATCGCAAA